AGCTTCTTCTCGTCGAATCCACGGTGCTTATCGAATTAGATGCTTTCGAACGTTTCCATAGCACTACCGACTGGATATATGCCTCAACGTGATCAGATATACTGATTTCCGTAGCGTAACGATTGTGGAAGTTCGTTACCATCCCATCCCAAGTCATCACATACGGGATTATTTTCGTCCTGCAATTCATCTCTGCCCTGCGTTTATTAGACAGTAAATCATACTTTCACTTCTTCTCCGTTTCCACTGCTATCAACCTGTCATGACCAGTGATGTCAACCTCAACCAGGATTACTTCACGTCGCTTCTTATCGTGCACCAGGATTCTGCTCGATCCGCTTTTATTCTAATTGCAGTTCTTACTCGCATGTCGACTCTGATTTCCACGTTCTCGTTAGCAACGATGCGGATCCAATTCTGTCAGGAAGAACGGAGTAGCTCCGCATCGTTGCTGATGAGAACGTGGAAGAAAGTTTTATGCTTGAAAATTAGTTCAACACCATGAAAATGCTTGTTTATTAAATCTATTTCATCCATGTTCATCAGTAACTAACTACATTCTTGCTGCAAACAAAATCTCAGCCACATGAAATAGCAAATGTTTGTTAAAAATATTATCTCTATTTTCTTAAGACGTATTTTTAATACTCAAAAGTATCAATTATTTATGACATTTTTTCTCTATAGATCACTTTCTTAGAGAATATTTTCTTTAATTAGTAAATATTTGCATGCACAATAGTGCTATTTATTATTACTGCTTTGAATGCAAATAAATTTTTCTTCACTTCTGCAGTTTTCATGTAAAACCATTTATTCAATAACTTTTCAGTAATTACAAATTCTGAAAATATTGTCACTTCCAAAAAATTCTATCGTTTGTACTAATTTTGCGAAGTTCATAGATGTTCCACAACGTGAAAAAAATCCACTCACTAAAATTTTTTTTTTCAAAATTAAATTTAGTTTTAAAAAAAAAATATTTTTTTCAAATTATTTTTAAAAAATTTTTTTCATCAAAATTCAATTTTTTTCTGATTTTTATTATTGATTGTAACTTATGTACTGTTAGCTATCTTTTTTAAGAAAAAAGTTATTCAGATATAGGCATTAATTTTAAAAAAAATGGAAAAATATACCAAAAATTTATCTAACAATCATAAAAATTTTCACATAGTTACACTATATTTTAACTAAATACAGTAATCGAATAAATGAAGTATTGTGTTGAGAATGTTAGCATATCAGCGAAACTTGCCAAGTTGCAACAAACGATAGATCTCTTCTGAAGTGCAATTTCGAGTTTCAGGCATGTTAAAGTAAACGTAGTAAGTAGCGAAGACTAAAGGACAAATAAAAATAAGGAAACTAAAAGGTCCGATTAGTTTTTGGCAAGGTAAATACAGAATGGGACAAAGGAAACAAGTAATATACTGAGCTGAAGTAGATAACGACTGTACTCGAGCTCGATCTTGAGGTTGAGCTAGTTCAGCTCCAATGAACCAAGCCAACGGCCCTATGCCAATACTGTAATGAAGGTATTTATCATTCCATTCAAGACACAGCGCAAAATTCATAAAAAATACAAAAATAATTTTTAGCCAAAAAATACAAAAATAAAAGTAAAAATAAATTTCGAAAATGCATACTTTCTTAAATATTACTTCCAAGAAATTACTGTTTCATTCTTATCAATTGTCTTAATAAATAATAGTTACTTCTTTACTCGATGAAAACAAAGTCTTCATGTAAATCTATTTTATAATATAAATTATAAATTAATTTTTGTATTTCCGTTTTTGAGGTCTTGAACCCAAAATAAATTTGAAATGGAGTTTTTCATTTATGAATCTTCGGAATGTTTTTGAAAATGAAAAACAGCATTGTTTTTGATATTTCAAACTTAATTTTTGTAGGAAAAATTCTTCACTTGAATCATAGATCACCAAAACTGATTTAATTTTGAGTTTTTTATAAAATTTTTTAAATTTAAAAGTTTAAAAATTTATCATATCAATTGGTTGTATTTTGTTAAATCAAGTCTAAAAATAGAAAAATTTTGAAAATTTAAGTCAAAAATGTTTATTTTGAATGAAATAAAAATTGAATTGAAACCTGAAGAAAAACAGGAAAAGCACAAAGAGAATTAAAAAGCAATATCCAATCCAAAAATTACTATTATGTTCAAAAATCCATACTAAAGTCATCATCCCAGCATTTATCGTTATTAAGCTAAGCAAACTTCCAAGCAGCAAAATACGCCGTCCCATCTGAAATAATCCAAAATTGTCTTTAAAATATTTCTAAGCTTTACTAGCAAGAAAGTAATGTCTAATAATCATAACAGAAACTGATTTCATGACATTTATTAGATGATTAAAATTGCAATTTGAGTATTCAAATTTTTACTATTTGTTTGATAATATCTAACTTTGTCAATAGTAACAGCTTGGATGAGAATACCAATGGTACCAGAAAAACCTGCTAAGAAATTCGCGATTGCAGCTCTATTTGGTGTAAAACCTGCAGTGCCAAGAAGAGATGTACCAAAAAATACCATTGCCATTATACCACTAAAACTTACGGTACAGTTCAATAAAATCGAAATGGTAAGCGTTTTCCGGCTTGTCCTGAAGTGTTGTCTTAAATTAAATTACTTCATTTTAGACTAAAAATTCACAATAAAATTGAATTAAATTAAAGTAAAAACGCTAATATATGGATTTCTCATGACCTACCAAAAATTTTTGCTCTCATTTTAAAATAAATAACAAGCATTGAGGTTAAAAAATTTTACTAGTGACATTCAAAAAACTAGCTTAATTATATCGAAATTTAAATCTTAAATAAAATATGTGGATAATTAAATTTGCTGACCTACTTGAAATTGCACATTTTTAAAATTTATTAAAATTTACAAGCATAAATTTTGCAAATTGAATTATGAAGCACAATGAATATAACCTATCAGTCAAGAATGTTATCCAACTAAATTTCTTCTCTTCAACGTCAGTTTCAGCGTGTTCTTTCAACGTTTCATCTACGTCTTTCTCATCACCATGAAAGTTAGTCTCTTTGTTTGCTGATTGTTCATTTTCTCTTCGTAAAAAATATTTTGGATTTTCTTGAAGAAAAAAAGTTGAATACAAAACATGCATAATACAAGCAATCAATTCTACATAGTAAGCATAAGGCCATAAGTTATCAGTGCCAAATATTTGAGGCAAACCAATCGCTGATGCAAGTATAGCACCGATATTTGTGGATAAACCAATTAATGTTCCCATAAAACCACGACAAGAGACTGAAGATATGAAAATGGATTTGGGTATTAATCCGTTTTGCAAAAGTAATCTTATCAGAAACTAAATTTATTTTATTTATTCAAACCAAGCTCTAGTAATTTTAGCTAGACTCTCTTTTGGGAATGATATTTTTTTAAAAAATTATCTGCGATAGAAGAAGGCTTATTTTTTTATAATAAATCTCTTTCAAATTTTTGATCTGATCTTTCAGTCTCGAAAACTTCTTTTTCACAATTCTAGGTAATAAATTATCCCATCGGTTACTTAAATGTAATCCAATCAGTAATTATGACAAAATTAAGAAATTGTGTGGCTTTATTACTGTATCAAAACTAGTATTTTATTGGTGCATATCATATAGGAGAGTTAATAATTTTATTTTTCTAAGCATTTAAAATTTTAAAACAATAAAATTAGTTTGAAAAGTAAGGTGATTTTTATTTCAATAGGTATTAAAAAGTGTAAGTACCAAAAAAAATTTTTTTTAATGCAAAGTAATTGTGAACGATTTCAAATTAAAAATTTTTGATTAAAAGAGTATTTGAGCAAAATTTGAAAATGATAACTATTCTTTAATATGAACTATAAAGTTTAGTGGAGTTATTAAAACTGATTCAGAATTGAACTTAATTTAAAATCTAATATCTGCAAATGGATTTATATTCTTTTCGATCAAGAAATCTAAATTCAAAATTGTATTCTTCTGTAGTGCATTTATTACTCTGTAGTGATAAAATAAATAAGTACTACAAAATGTATTAGAGGAATAAAAAAGTTTATGTAATACATTTTGTAGTACTACATA